CTTTTATTAATAAGTAAAAAAATAAAAATTTATTAAATATTTTTTATGTTTATTACTAACAAAATATCAAATTTTTCCTCTCTATAATGTTAGTTTAGATAACACCGTAAGTCACATCAGATCAACCATGCAGTAGTCCTGAAAAACATCGGAGACAAATTTCTGAAAAACTCACTAGGATAAGCCAACTGACATTACTTTATCTTCAACTAACCTAACTAGGAGGGGAAAGGGATCGTTAGTAATGTGAACTACCAGTCCCATTGCTAGCAATATACCCTGTCAAGTCGACCTCCACGTGGTCCCCACCCCTGGAAACCACCGTGCTGAATTCCAGGTATATTCATCATGATGTGCTAACTGGCCTGTCTTCATTCTCATCTATCACCCTTCACTGGTGCTCCGCCAGCGTATACCGTTAGCTTAGGCGGGGCTACTATTCCATTATCATATATTTACCCTTAATTTAGTAGATATTTTTTTATTTTGTGATTAATATATGTTTTAGAATGTAGGACCTTGTAAAAAAAAATATGTTCTTTCCCTTTTTGAGAAAATACATGCCCTCTGTGGTTGACATTGCTAAAATAGGGTAATAAAACAATATTGTAAAATTTTAATGACTTGGATTTTTTTACAGTTTGTGTTCGGGGTAACAGACAATATTAAATTAAGGGTTAAAAAGAAACCCTAACTGAGACCCCGCACGCAAAAACCGTTAATTCCGTTAACGGTTTGTTTGCCAGGTTTACCATTCTATTTCATCATCGTCATCATATCAGCCTTTAACTGTCCACTGCTGAACATAAGCCTCCTGCTTGGGGGGTTTTGCCAGTAGTTGTCACGCTTGGCAGGCAGATTCGCAATCGTAGTTAAGCTTTGAAGATGTTTTAATAGGGACGCTGCTGCCCATCCGAACCCTCTCTTAGTTGTCTTTTACAACACCCACGGGAAAGAAAGGGGTGGTCTTTGTATACACCATTATTACCAGAGGGAGACTTTGTACAAAAGTCGATTGCTTGGGCACCTCTGTCCCATTCGTGTTTCAACCGTGAAGCAGTTGTGTTTGCATGACTGTGTTTCGGTTTGAAGGGTGGGATATGGCGTGAATTTACAGGGTACAGAGGAATAACACCTGAGTCCTCAGGAATGGCAACGCATGGGGGGTATCATGGGTGAAACAGTATAGTCTGCTATGTCCATGGTACTGCTCATGTCTATAGGCGACGGTTACCACTTTCCATCAGGTGGGCCGTCAGCTTGTTTGTCATTCTAAGTTGCATAAAAAAAAAAAAAAAAAAAAAAAAAACACTGGCGGGGCACCAGTGACGGATGATAGGTGAGAATGAAGCAGGTCAGTTAGCCCACCGTGACGAATCTAACAATAAATCAATCACGATGGTTTCCAGGGGGAACCACGAGGAGGTCGACCTGACAGGGTACATTGTTAGCGATGGGGTTACTAATCCCCATTACTAACAATCCCTTCTCCCCCGAAGGGGTGGTAGACCACCCCTTCTATGTCGGGAATACACGGCGGACCACTCTATTTACATTGAAAAAAAAAAACAGTGATAATAAAAAAAAGGTCTTGGGATAAAAAAAGAGTCCAACAATAGGTACTTCCTGATCAGTCAGACAAGAAAGCATGTCTCCCATGAGAAATTATACCGACAAAAAATATGCTTTTAAACTTTGTCAAACAATCGCATGGCCAAGGAAAAACTTTACCAGTTTCCGCCATTTATAACCTCAGCGGTGACACCCGGGAGCCGAGTGACCGGATAGTGAACCAAAACTTATGATACAGTTAGCAAACTAAATAAACGCCTTAAAACCCGTAACCTATTATAAGGAAAAGAGACTAAACCTCTTATTCATAAAAACTAAAAACTTCTACAAATATATTTTGTCACTTTCCTCTAAATTGGGAATTAAATTAAAAAAAAAAAAAAAAAAAAAAAAAAAAGAGAAAAAACAAATCAATATCTAAAATAGAGTATGAGAGTTTTATTTAACTTTTTATGAATAAGGTATATTATTGTAACGGTTAAAAAATTTCTATCAAATAAAATTAGGAAAACTCCTTTTTTTTTATAAAACTTAGAATAACAAACAAGCTGACGGCCCAACTGGTAGAAAGTACTAACTATCAGCTATAGACAAAAACAGTACCATAGACAATTCAATCGTTCACTAAATATTCAAAATATACATAACAAAATGTACAGAAAGAGATATGCAACCATTTTCTGCCAACCAACCGCGCATAAACGCGTGTTCCCACCCGCCATACATTACGTCTCGACTGCCTGAAATAACATTATACCTGCGGCCTTAATTGGCAACAGAAATATTACTTCGTGCTGCTATTTCGACAGACGGATATATTAAAAATATTATTAAAACGATCTGCATGCGGTGCCCTCCTTCGTTGGAGTACCATCGCTGACGAAAGTGTTTCACTTTTGTATACTCATCAGTACATTTTACCCCACAAACAACTACTATTCGAGTAAGAGTTTAATTCTCTGGTTAAGTCTCTAGGCCTCTTTCGTGATACATGACTTACTTTGTCAATTTTTTTTTATCACAACAAATGTAGTTAACAAATGTAGTTAAGGTTATGCAATTCATCTTAATATTTTTCGTATTTTTTTTTAATTATACATGCGTAATGATAATTGTGTATTATAATATAATGTTTTTTTTATTTTTTTTTTATTTTTAGCCCATTATTTCTTTTTTAATTCATCATGTATTAAAAAATAAATACACACAATAGTTTCCAGGGAGAACCGCGTGAAGGTCGATCTGACAGGGTATATCGCTAGCAATGGCATTGCTAATTCCATTCTTCCCTCCTATAACATAACTGTAGTAAGCCATGTAGAAAATAACCTATCATACATTTCATTCAATCATTCATTCAAATAAAAAACAGTAATTGTAATTAATAATGATGAAATTAATAAAAAAAAAAACCTATACAAAATAAAGCCAAACGATTACAAATAAAAAATAACAAAATATGTACAAAATTGATGCATATATGTACGTGTACATACAAAGTAACTTATGCACAAAAATATAACATTTTTTTAGAAGTCGCTTATTGTCTTTATTTCTAAAATGTACACAAACAAAAATAAACCAAGACATTACTAACAGAACGAATAACTAATAAATTTTTAATATTAAAAAAACAACAAAAAAAAATCACTACATTACTGGAATGAAACACGCAATTTGCCTTCTACAATTGTGATTTAGCACGCGATTGTACTAAAGATATGTAAAAATAAACATGCAGAGTATGAACGTTGTTCAATAAGGTCTCAGTATTGGGTATTAGGGTTGTATATCTCGTATTATGGTGTTTTAAATAACATTGAGATTTCGCAATAACTCTATCGGAGTGATTGAAAATTTTCAATGACTCAGTAGGTTTAATGTTTTTCGTATAAGACCTTATTGTAATAATATATACCTGAGAGATAATGTAATAGATTTATTTTAGCCAATATATACTTACCTTTTTCTTAAGTAGGTACCATATATAGGTAGGCATAACCATATGAATCGTTAAATGTCACTTCTGAGCATAGGCCTAGGCATAAGCGGGGTTTTGCTAATAGTTGCTGCCAACTCGTCAGCCAAATTTGTGACCAAAACGTACATATACATATTTGTATAATATCAGAAAAAAATATAATTTAAAAAATCAACTGGGTCTGGGAAATTTATAATCTAATTACTTGCAACACTAAAAAAAATGGCGCGTTTTGCTTTTACTTATCTCTAAGAACAAGGTATTACAAAATAAAAAAATAGCAACTGGTGGTGTACCTTTCGTCCTCTTTTTACTAATTATATTTACATAAAAAGATATGAGACAACCAAATGATTTACAGTTTTTATTTTATCATCCCTTCTAAGTAATTCCTTGTTCTTAGAATTACCTACCTCGTTGCGACACTGCCGATTTATCCATTAATGTTATTGTTTTATTTTCTAATAACTGCTTTAATAAAATTATTCTAATTTTTTTTTTTATATATCCACTGTTAATCCACAAAGATTTGTTCGAAAATTTAAATTCAAAAACAGGATTTAAATTGTTCATCAAAATTTTTCTTATCTTTCACTCGGAGTGCTGTCATTTGAGTTTCAAACTTTCAGGGGTTGATTTTATTACTTTAAAACAAGGATCACAGTTTAAGAAATTTTATCGATGTTTTATCTATTCTATAAAAATTAAAGTAAGACACGCAAATTTTTTGTGACAATATTTTTTTAATTTTTCTTTTGTGTTTTACTCAAATTAAACTGGCTTTTAAACGCAAATTTCTTCACTATTACTGGTATAATCAGAGCAATGTCACTCAAACAAAAACCGTTTGTATGAAATCTATGCAAACAATTTATTAATTAATAATTTATCAATTGGAAAATTTTTACTAAAAAAATTCTAGATCGTTTATGACACCTATAGTTATTAATTTTGGACACTATATTTATACTAGTATTATAAATATACTAGTAATATATAAAGAGGAAAGATTAAATTGTTTGTTTGTTTGTTTACAATGTATAAACTTAATAACTACTCAACGGATTTTTCGAATTCTTTCACCTATAGAAAGCAACATTATTGGCGAGTAACATGGATATATATTATTTTAGAAATTTCTATCTACCCGTGCGAAGCCGGACTGGATCACTAGTTATAAATAATTGTACAATACTATTAATATTTTTTTTATTATGTTGCTACTTACTGTGCTTGCACAAATTTATTTTCCGGTATCGTCAATGTAAGGACAGGGCCGACGCTTAAATGACGTAGTGATTACTCGGTGTATATAATAAAATTTAATTAATACATGCATATATTTTGCTTTATTTCTTGTTTCAGATAAATTAAATTGGGTTTAAAAATTTTAAAAACCTATAGAGGTTTTGTTAAACTTCTCTTAGATATTAAAAAAATGTCTTACCTCCACATGTTTCTCGAAAATCAGGACAACAATCTCCAAGCTTCAAGCACGCGTGGTCGCAATAGCAGGGTTTGTCCGTCAAATCTTCTATAATGGCATTCTGGTGGGCTTTCTGAACAACGCAGGAGCTATCTCTTCCGGGGCAACAGAGATTAGCATCTCTGCAGTAATTTGCGCCACAATGCCCGGCTAAGCAAACCGCACTGGCAAAACACAGCCAGTAACGAAGCATTTTATCCGTTTAAAAAAGTAAAAAGCTACGGAATATAACTGTACAGCCAAAGAGAACTAAAAGCGATTTTCTTTTTTTTTATTTCACAAATGGCACCGAGCAAGTTATAGTTTAAATTTACGAAAATGGAATCGAGTTTCAGTCCAGTGACATTCCGAATTAAAACCCCGTCGTCCGTTGACAGCTTCGTTCTGAAACAAAAATAAAAGTTCATTATTTTTCTTTTAGGTAATATAGCATTATATTATTTTAAAGTTTTCAGTTGTTGAAAAACTTTTCGTACTTTCGTTGAACTAGTTTTTTTTTTTTTTAATTGACATTTCCGAACGTTTTGTAATCTTATAAAGTACTAGTATTTTGCCCGCTACTCCATACGTGTGGTAAGTAATAGTAGAAAAACCGATAAAATAAATGGGGTATCAAGATAAAACATACACCAGATTTTAAATTAAACCTTCAGAAAATGTAAAAACTGTAATAACCGCGTCAAACAAACATACAGACAGACAGACAAATTTCTAAAAATTATTGTATATTCATATATTAGTCTTATTAAACCCCCCACCTCCATATTTGTTTTTTTTTTAAATATCTCCCATGTATAGACATCATCAAGTTTTATTATTATTTTATTGAGATAAGAAAAACAGAAAATTATTATATTTTAATAATAAAATAATAAATGAAATAAAATAATAATGATTCGTACAACCGTAAACCGCAATCGTTCATGAATAAGTAAATAATAATAATATAGTAATATAAACTACTATTGAACGCGACACTAATCGGGCATCCCAGTATTTAGAACGTGAGTAAAACAGACATAAATATAATTAATAGCAATAAAATATTTTTTCTATGTTTTTATTTAACAATAGCCCTTGTTTATTTTTGTTACTGTTGAATGTTCATCTTGAATGTGGCATAGAAAAATCGGAACATACAATTTACAAGTAATTTCTGTAAGACAGTATATAAATAAAATATAAAATAAAACTAGATTTTAATAATTAAAATATGTATAGATAATAAAAAAATTGAGGCAAAATAAACCCACGTTGGTAAATCATAACGTTAATAACCAAGTCAGCCAGTTAATTTCTCCTAATATGAGTGAAAGATTTGGTATCTTAAATTTACTTATTTTTAAATTTTATTTATAAAATATAAGACATAATTTGTGTACAAAAAAAGGGACTTCGTTCGAAGCTAATGCCTCCTGTGAGGTTTGAACTCACGACCCCTGGTTTACGAGACCAGTGCTCTACCACTGAGCTAAAGAGGCTGACGTGCGGCCATTCGAAATAAGCGTGGACTATCTGTGACTGTACGATATAAAGTAAAGCGTGTTTCATGTATTTTATAATTAGTATTGTATTATAAAATCTTTATTGTACATACTTAATATTGAATAAATTAAAAAGCTGAAAGAAAACTATAAAACGTTCGAGACTAAAATTTTTAGTATATGTTTTTAGAATGACATACAAGCTAACGGCCCACCTGATGGAAAGTGGTAACCGTCACCTATAGACATGTAGTATGAATGTAGCAGTACCATGGACATAACGGAGAATACTATTTCGGCCATGATACCTCCCATGCGTTGCCATTCCTGAGGACTCAGATGTTATTCCTCTGTACCGTGTAAATTCACTGCCATATCCCACCCTTTAAACCGAAACACAGCCATGCAAAAACAACTGTTTCACAGTAGAAACAGGAATGGGACAGAGGTGGCCAAGCAAACGACTTTTGTACAAAGTCTCTTACATTTTATTTTTCCAAAGCTATCTAGAATTGTCACTGCGTCATAACGGTTTTTTTTGCTGGGTGAAAATGGTATTGCCACCCCGCCTGCGCTAACGGGATACGCTGGCGAGGCACCAGTGAAGGGTGATCGATGAGAATGAAAACAGGCCAGTCAGCCCATCATGATGAATTCATCAGGAATTAACCATGATAGTTTCCTTGGGGAACCGCGAGGAGGTCGACCTGGTTGGGTATATTGCTAGCAATGGGATCCCTTTCCCCCCGCGCCATAACGGTTATTCGGGATCAACAAATTTCATTATCTCCAAAATAAACAACAAATTGTTGTTCAATAACATTTTATTGTTGTTATACCAACTTGCATAGGTGAAATAATACAATAAATATATCCACTAAGGTGACATTGTGCTGACCGTGACTCTACTTGTATTCACGTATGATATATAAACAAAATTTCTTATCATAGTTTTATTGAATGTCAAATCCACGCAAATATATACAATAATAACATTATTCTGTGCCCACCTCATAAATCTCTGGTGCCCACCCCGGGATCAGGAGTAGAGCTTTCAAGTGTGAGCAAAGACAGCTTTTTTTAAAAAAAGAATACTGTTTTTAAGAAAAAACTCCTGCTATGGTAATAAATGTGAAAGTTTGTAACGATGAAGGCATGGATGTTTGTTACTCTTTCACGCAATAACTATTAAACGTATTTATTTAGAATTTGAAAAACGGGCTTTTTTTTTAATGGGTGATAATGGAATGGTAACCCCACCCGCGCTATCGATATACACCGGCGGTGCACCAGTGAAGGATGATAGGTGAGAATGAATTTGGGATTGGGATTCTCAGTCTCCATTACTAACAATCCCCTTCCTCACACGGGGAAGGGATTGTAAATAGTAATTTGTTTTAGTAGGTCCTAACTTCGTATATAGAATACTGTATGTACTGATTCACGTGAGTAAAGCCGCGGGTTACAACTAATTTTAAATATGCCAATGTTTATGTTATCCGATAAAAAAAATTAAATACATTAAATTCAAATTTTATTTGCAAAATGGTCACCTGAATTTCTCTTTGTGCCGTGTGGTCCCGTCATAGAATGACCCTCTTATCGTGTCGTAAGAGGCGACTAAGGCAGCTTAATGGTCGAGGTATCGAAACTGCTGTTGCTAATCTGCCTGCCAAGCGTGGTAACTACTGCCAACCCCCCCCCCCCCCCCCCCCCAATAGGGATCGGTCTATGTTCAGCAATGGACAGATAAGGGGGGAAAGGGATTGTTAGTAATGGGGTCTAATAGCCCCATTGCTATCAATATATACTCTCAGGTCGACCTCCACGCGGTTACCCCTGGAAATCACCATGTTTAATTCTTGTCAAATTCACCATGGTGGGCCAACTGACCTGCATTCATTCTCACCTATCATCTTTCACTGGTGCCTTGTCGGTGTATACCGATGGCGCGGGCGGGGTTACCATTCCATTTTCACCAATTAAAAAAAATGGACAGACAACAGCTGATATGATAATGAGTTTATTGTCCATTCAGCTCATCCTAATTGGACGATAAATGAGTAGCATGTTTTGATTAATAATATAAATTTGCGTCAAACACAGCGATTCTCTTAATAGTGATTGAGTGAACGCTTGATCGAATGATTCTGCTGTTTACTTAATGATCTAATTATATACAATAATAGAGGGAAGGCCTTTACTCAGCAGTGGGATATTAGTTATGGTAAATAAATCCCAGTTTGACGACATGTATCATAGACACATACGTTTATAATATTTAAATTTAGAATGCAAATTCTTTATTCAAATATGGTAGAAGTAATAAGGAATTTAACATTTTAAAAAAATATATCAAATTCAATCGTGACACAATTAATATAAAACTATAACAAGAGTTGGCACAATTGTGGTAAAAGCAGTTATAGATTTAAAAATCGAACTATCAATCGATTTTGATAACATATCTATGAAACCAATTTCATCTGAAAGGATATGCTTACAGCGTATCCTTTCAGATGAAAGAAGAATTTTCTTAATCAGTTTATAAATGACGGAAGTATGAGGTAACAAACCTAAAAAAAATACAACCGATTTGAAACCTCCTTCTTTTTGAAGTTGGCTGAAAACCACTTACTTTAATAAAACCAGTTCTTTTGGTTTAAAAACCAAACTACTGGACCAGTTTTGATAAAATTTCTCTGGGACCAATCTGAAATGAATTAATCCTTTCAGATAAAGAAAAATTCAAATCATTTTATAAATTATATAACTGAGTTCTAAAGTAACAATCGAAACACGTAGATGACAAAAAATAGTTTGTTTTCTATTATTAATTTTTATCATTATTTTTGTTCCAAATTGGTGCGGTCACCACTTTGAAACAAAAATAATGTCTGAAATCTGTAATAACGATTTTTTTTAATTTGAAAATAGTTTATAATACCTATCTTTATTTTATAATTAATTAAAGAGAGGTACATTACAAAAAATTGTATAACCCCATGAATATTTATTTATTTTATTCCGTTGATACTTTTAGGTTACATAGATTCTTCAGTTTTTTTTTTTTTTTGTTAAATATAAAAGCAATGCCGACTCTTAACAAACTTTGTGGTCTACTAAGTAAGTGGTAGTAATTACTTTGTGGTCCGACCATTCACCAAAGCACAGATAATATAATACTATACTAGTACCAAAGATTATAAATGAAGAATAAATGTGATAAGTATAATTACTAACATATATTACACACTTTAATTTCATTTCCTAATCACCTCTAACTTAACTAAATAGGCGTAGATAACAAAAAAGCAGTTCGTGACCATACTTTGAGGTACACGACCTCGGGGCAACGAACTTTGTAACTTTGATAAACACACAGCGCACCAGAGACAACAGAGCAGAGACTCATTATTTTTTTTATGTCCTTTCGAGGCAAAGGTATCCCGAGATTTGTCGTATACGGTTTGTGGAAGCAATCAAAGTTCACAGAGTACTTATTTACGCGTTTTATGTTGGAGTTTATGGTTTTTAGTTTACGAGACTCGTGTGTAAGTAGTTATTTTTTAAAACAATGTAAACTAAGTACATGATTAAAAATATTTATTTGGCAGAGAAATTTAAATTACAGGCAATTAATATTTATGGACAAAAAAGAACAAGTATTTAAGAATAATGTAAAAAAAAAACAAACGTGATCTTACGCATAAAAATATAGTATATTTGGTCACTTTTTAACAAATAAAATAAATTATATACTGCACATTAAAAAAATATTACTTTAATCGATTTAAAAGTAATACATCTTATTAATTTGCAAGATAATCAATTATCAAAGTCGATACAGAATTGGTATAGATATCACATAATATATACACAGAAAAAAAACCTATAAAT